TATTTATCATTTTCCATGACGCCCTCTTCATATTCCGAGTCGTACCATGGATGGACCTCTGTGTCAAAACCACATGCATAGCGAAGACGGTAATAAAATGATCGAGCTACACCATCATGTCGCTTAAGATACTGTGTTTGTGCCAAAGCTGGGCATCCACTGTCAATGTGTTGGCCTGTCTTATTAAATTCATTACCTAATCTACGTTTCATATTTACATTTTGATACAAAATCTCACATTGACGGTTTCGAGTGGGAAGTGACTTTTCAGGCCAGCCGACTTCATCCAAGCAAAGGACTCTGCAGGGTTACTGAACTTCTCAACACACTGTACATAAACCCGATGCAGTGGTCGTTCAGATAGCCTCTCCTTGAGTCTGGGCCGACTTGATGTGGCACTTCGCTTGGTTAACACTCATTTCTGTACCGTCCAGCAGTACAGAACCATCAACATCAATGAACACTGACATTGGCTCGTTTTAGAAAACTGTGGAATGCCTTGTTTTCACCATGAGTCTTGACAAGCTTCACAAGAGGATCATTATTATTATTATTTTTATTACAACAAGTGCTATTCATGAAGTGAGAAGCCATTATATACTACTAAAAAATCGGGTGTTCTTAGCTTCTTTTGAGTAGCATACAATTTCGTCACACTGGCCTGCTGCATGTTATAGTGGCCCTTTACACGCCCGCTTCCAAACGTCACCACAAACTACACCGTCTGACCCCTGGAAACAGCCAGACAACCTATCTCTGTCGCCAAACCGGATCTAAGAAAAACCGTCACGGTGTTTTCCCGAAACAACAACAGACCAATCACAGCATCGGCGTCTTGATGTACGGCCTTCCCGTTCTCTGACAGTAGTCAGTAATAAGACAGATGAGTCGCATATGACCGCACTGGTATGTACGGTGTGGCCAGTGAGGGGACATGTTCCTTCACATCAGCACTCCGACACGTGGTTAATGTGTGTGTAACCCGGATGTCATGATGGTCTCCGTAAACAATGACGTCATACTCATTAGCACAGTGCATGACCTCTTTGGCAGCCACGTGACGTCGTACTCATTAGTGCGGAACGTGACCTCTCATGTTTAAGTGCGTGTTGGGGCGGTGGGGTAGCCTAGTGGTTAAAGCGTTCGCTCGTCACGCCGAAGACCCGTGTTCGATTCCCCACATGGGTACTATGTGTGAAGCCCATTTCTAGTGTCCCCCGCCGTGATATTGCTGGAATATTGCTAAAAGCGACGTAAAACCATAGTCACTCACACCTGTGCGTGTGTTTATCGTGTTATAACTGGTAAACTTTCGTCTTCTGTTTCGATCAGAGGAGATGAGGATTCATCAAAGGTGCAAAACAATCTAAATAATCGAGATTGGACCAAACAATCCAGTGATTGACATCAAAACATCTATGTACGCAATTGGGATACGATGACATGCATCAGCCCAGTAAGCGAGCCTGACAACCCGATCCCGTTAGTTGCCTCCTACGACAAGGGTTGCTGAAGATCTATCTAAATCCAACCATTGTTTGGTGTGGCTGTATACATACAAGAAGGAATGGTCCCGGAATAGCACGAATTGGACACGAATACTGGGTACAAAATGTGGAACGTGTTTTTGGTGTCCATCAGTCGTGATATATAGTTGGAATATTGCCAAAGACTTTGACCAGCTCTCTATTACAATGTAGCAGATCCTAATATTCGTCATCTGTTTCGGTAGATTGACATAACATGTTATTCATGTGATATAGTGATTACAACAGTCATGAATGAGTCAGGAACCATTTATCTGACAACGAGTTGGTTACAGGAGATGACTAACGGGATCGGGTGGTATGGGTTGCTGTCTTGGTTGATGCATGTCATCGTATCCCAATTGCGTGGATCGATGCTCATGACGTCAATCACTGGATTGTCTGGTTCAGACACGATTGCTTACAGAACGCCGTCATATAGCTGGAATATTGCTGAATGCGGCGTTAAACAACAAACCAACCAACCAACCAACCAGGTGTCGCAAAAAGGTGAGCGTATCCTGCCTCACTGGTCCATCCTGGTCCATCCGTCACAAAAACATGCATACGTTCTGAAAGCTTTACTGAGACCTTGAATGTTGCACTCTTGATCAGAACAAAGAAGACACCAAGGGTTGAACCTGCTGGAATATTGCTGGTCATAAAGGGAAAGTTGACTACTGGAAAGTTGAAGTCATCCCTCTTGTCATACAGTCTTGTGGAGAGCTTTTGTCACTCCGAATCTTTGAAAGGTGGAAAGGAAGACTTTTTAGAGACCAAAACACATTATTATAGAACCTTAGGACAAATAACTTTTTTTCAAAATTTTCAATTTATAGTATAAGTTAAAAATATATTAAATGGTAAAAGCCTTGTTGAAGGTCTTCGTTGACATGGGTTGCCAAATGTCGTTTAAGCTCATGTTCAATTGTTCAGGATTCTATGTGCAAGTCATTTTAGTGGGTGCGACAGACTTTAATTGAAACTATTTCAATTCATGTTCAAGAGGCAAGATGTATAATAACGTCGATACATAAGTACGAATAGCACTGCAATTAGTTTTTAGCTATTTTATGGTTGAAATGATGTCTCAGGATTGGCGAAAACACCTGTGGGTTAGCACAGTGACACTGCTAAGTCATTCATGCAGACAGTGAAGCTATTGATAATATTAATTCAACCGTGTGACCCAGAGATAATTGAAGAGGTTCACCGTGATTTTGTCTACCCTTTTTGACGGTTAAAGCTCTTTCTTTATAATACACATCTTCAGACGCATATAAACACTACCGATGGGCGCGCCCAACAAACACTGTAACGATACAAGTTCAGGTCGTAAAACACATGTAGCAATCACACGTAGTTGAAGTTACACAGTGCATGGCTTTGTTCAAACACCAGGGCTGTTTTTCGTGTCCAAATTAGGACGCGGGGATTGAATGACATTAATGGTATCCCGTGATATTCAATGGGGTACACATCAATTTACAGTCGGCGAAAACACTGATCCACTTCCTTATTGCTATTACTGGGTATAGATGCGCGCCTGATGTTGACCAGTGAAGAATCAGGGTTAATTGGTCTTCAGCAACCCCTGCTTGTCGTAAGAGGAGATTAACAGGATCGGGTGGTCAGGCTCTCTCACATGGTTTATATCCAATAGAAATCTCTGCATTAAGCAGAGTCGAGTGTACGTTTCCGACTATATCATGAGCATGTGTTAATGAATCACTATTAAATAGTATTGATGTCAGGTGTTCGTGAAAAGGTGAGCGTATCATACCCCGCCGGAGGAACCCGTCACAAACGCCCGCCTCTGTCTAGGAGTCATATCAAAAGACGTAAACAGATGGTACTTGTTATTACCCTGCCTGGCGCTGAAATGCATCAGCGAGCCTGACCACCTGATCCGGTTAGTCGCTTCTTTCGACAAGCATAGTCACCTCTTACGACAAGCATGGATTGCTGTAGACCTATTCTCCACTTTCGGATGTTCACGGGTCAGTCCGGGCTAGTACAAGCAACCGCACACACACTTGCGTGCACGTCGCTATATAAGTGCAATAATCTTGAACGCGAAGCTAAACCTCATATCACCTCACTTTTCCTCACCCGCCACAAACCCGTGTAAAGGCAAGTCAATTGTTCACCTAAAAACAAACCGAGAACACGTGGAACAAGTAAAAAATGAAATTGGATCAGATATCCTTTTTGTCACTGATGCGTCAAATTTGTCTACCATAAAACGTGTTGAAAGCTTTACTGCCTTGAAGCTGTTTTCTCTTTGAAATATTCATAGCAAGCGCATGATTGATCAAGCAGCAAGCGATGGCTTCAGGCCAGTTTGCATGCATAATATGTACAGTTGTATATGCAATACCTTTTGTTTCTATCGTAACATCATAACTTTGTTATACCTTACATAAGGGCGCTAGTGTAGCCTAGTGGTTAAAACGTTCGCTCCCAACATGGGTACAATGTGTAAAGCCCATTTCTGGTGTCCCCCGCCCTGATATTGCTGGAATATTGCTTAAAGCGTGTTAAACCATACTCACTCACTCACTATGCCTTACATTGAACTGATCGCTAACGTCCACATAAAAGGGAGTAATGTTTGTTTGTTGTTTAGCTCCGCACTCAGCAATATTCCAACTATTGACGGCGGTCAATAATCGAGTCTTGACCAGACAATACAGTGATTGGCACCATGAGCATCGATCTAAACAAATGGGATACGATGACATGCATGAACCACGTCAGCGAGCCTGACCACCCAATCCCGTTACTCGCCGCTTACGACGGGCATACTCGCCTCTTACACGACCCAGACCTTTATTGTTGTATGGTTTCAGGCAACAAACAAACATTTACCGTTAAATGCAAATTGTGTGAAATATATGCCTACCTATTTTGCCTTTTGCTTCCCATATTAGTTCTGAAAGCCTATTTCACCAGACACTGGCCCGTCTCTGAAAAAGGTATTTACAAAGTTCAACATGCTGTTTTCATGGGTATAAACAAAGGAAGATAAAATGAAAAAAAAATGTTTCGAAACTCAAATTCTAAACCATGTCGCCCGTGGGCAACCCATGGGCGAGAATATTTTCGTTTGCTCAAAACTAATGTTTTTGTTTTGCAAATACCTAAATATGTGTCTTCAAGTACCAAGACACATCGTTCACCTCATTTTAACTGAATTCAACAGATTTATAGGCGAAATAACCTGGTATAGTCCGACCTAATGCCGGTTTTATAGCGCTGAATCACTGAGATAACAATGCGCATTTAACCAGGCCCAGACACAGTATACTGACTCCCTCCCGACCAGTCCTTGTTTTATGTCCTTAATCCCGAGCGCCGGGCAGGGTAAATAACAAGTACCATTTTTTAAGGAACTTTGGTATGACGCGACCAGATGATAGAACCATTATGTACATATCACATTGCGTTATCAAGCCCTTGTCTTGGTTTCAGTGCCTCAACATATCCGGTCTGTTCAACGTCGTGGGTGCCGACATCAGCAAGGGTCTGACCGAGGAGCAGTTCCACAACGCAAGCGTCGTCATATTCTACTACATCTACAACATCACCAACTACTGCCGACAGAATGTCAACCCAGAAACCAACACGTTTGAGTTTTATCTCCAGAAGGCCAAGGCCATCCTCTTCGAGGAAGGTCATGGTGACATTGAGGCAGAGACTATTGAGCATGCGTTGGAACACATTGCAAAGTCGATCAAGCTTCGGGAGGACCACAGTCAGGAGGCGAACCACTCCCAGTTCGAGCACAGCCACGAGCACAGCCACGAGCACGGCCACGAAGGGGACAACCACGAAGGGGACAACCACGAAGAACACGTGAATGTCATTGATGCCGTGGTAAAGTTCAACGTCTTTTAGATAGACACATATAAACACGTATACAATAAAAACCTGGTTAACTTGAACATGATATCTCGTTTAAGTCCATAGAAATTACACTCTGATTGGCTTCAAATGAAATCGATGAATTGCAAAATAACCCAAATTTGGGAATAGTCTCTGTGTTCAGATATGTATAAGTAGTTCTAGGAATGTATGTCACCACTTCATCTGACTCAGTGTAAGAATGTCAATACATGTTCCCCTTGGCATGTCAATACATATGGATGTTTCTCAGAACATTAACTATAGAAGGGTTGTCGATAGCACTGCCTCAAGGAATGTATGTATCCACGTATGCATCCTTGTGCATTTAGGAATGTATGTCTCTACTTGTGCATCTAGGAATATATGTCTCTCCTTGTGCATCTAGGAATATAAGTCTCTCCTTGTGCATCTAGGAATGTATGTCTCTCCTTGTGCATCTAGGAATATATGTCTCTCCTTGTGCATCTAGGAATGTATGTCTCTCCTTGTGCATCTAGGAATGTATGTCTCTTCTTGTGCATCTTGGAATGTATGTCTTTCCTTGTGCATCTAGGAATGTATGTCTCTACTTGTGCATCTAGGAATATATGTCTCTACTTGTGCATCTAGGAATGTATGTCTCTCCTTGTGCATCTAGGAATGTATGTCTCTCCTTGTGCATCTAGGAATATATGTCTCTCCTTGTGCATCTAGGAATGTATGTCTCTGCTTGTGCATCTAGGAATATATGTCTCTACTTGTGCATCGAGGAATATATGTCTCTCCTTGTGCATCTAGGAATATATGTCTCTACTTGTGCATCTAGGAATATATGTCTCTCCTTGTGCATCTAGGAATATATGTCTCTACTTGTGCATCTAGGAATATATGTCTCTCCTTGTGCATCTAGGAATATATGTCTCTCCTTGTGCATCTAGGAATATATGTCTCTCCTTGTGCATCTAGGAATATATGTCTCTACTTGTGCATCTAGGAATATATGTCTCTCCTTGTGCATCTGTGAATATATGTCTCTACTTGTGCATCTAGGAATATATGTCTCTCCTTGTGCATCTAGGAATATATGTCTCTCCTTGTGCATCTAGGAATGTATGTCTCTCCATGTGCATCTGTGAATGTATGTCTCTACTTGTGCATCTAGGAATATATGTCTCTCCTTGTGCATCTAGGAATATATGTCTCTCCTTGTGCATCTAGGAATATATGTCTCTCCTTGTGCATCTAGGAATATATGTCTCTACTTGTGCATCTAGGAATATATGTCTCTCCTTGTGCATCTAGGAATATATGTCTCTACTTGTGCATCTAGGAATATATGTCTCTACTTGTGCATCTAGGAATATATGTCTCTCCTTGTGCATCTAGGAATGTATGTCTCTCCATGTGCATCTGTGAATGTATGTCTCTACTTGTGCATCTAGGAATATATGTCTCTCCTTGTGCATCTAGGAATGTATGTCTCTCCTTGTGCATCTAGGAATATATGTCTCTGCTTGTGCATCTAGGAATATATGTCTCTACTTGTGCATCTAGGAATATATGTCTCTCCTTGTGCATCTAGGAATATATGTCTCTCCTTGTGCATCTAGGAATATATGTCTCTCCTTGTGCATCTACGAATATATGTCTCCTTGTGCATCTAGGAATGTATGTCACTCATTTCACATCTGTGAATGTATGTCTCTACTTGTGCATCTAGGAATATATGTCTCTCCTTGTGCATCTAGGAATATATGTCTCTCCTTGTGCATCTAGGAATGTATGTCTCTCCTTGTGCATCTAGGAATGCATGTCTCTCCTTGTGCATCTAGGAATGTATGTCTCTGCTTGTGCATCTAGGAATATATGTCTCTACTTGTGCATCTAGGAATATATGTCTCTCCTTGTGCATCTAGGAATGTATGTCTCTCCTTGTGCATCTAGGAATGTATGTCTCTGCTTGTGCATCTAGGAATATATGCCTCTGCTTGTGCATCTAGGAATATATGTCTCTCCATGTGCATCTGTGAATATATGTCTCTCATTTCGCATCTGTGAATGTATGTCTCTCATTTCACATCTGTGAATGTATGTCTCTACTTGTGCATCTAGGAATATATGTCTCTACTTGTGCTTCAGTGTTTGAGCCCGGACGCAGTATTTTACCAGCTAGGTGAGGAGGGGGAGCACATTGAGGGGGACAAACTTACAGATGTCGCCACCTTCATCGTGTACCACCTCCTGGAAGGTAAGTCACACTGTCACACACAAGGAGCACACTGTCACACACTGTCTGACACAAGGAGGACACTGTCACACACTGTCACTCACTGTCATGCACAAGGAGGACACTGTCATACACTGTCACACACAAGGAGGACACTGTCACACACAAGGAGGACTCTGTCACACACTGTCACACACAAGGAGGACACTGTCACACACTGTCACACACAAGGAGGACACTGTCACACACTCTCACACACAAGGAGGACACTGTCACACACTGTCACACACAAGGAAGACACTGTCACACACTCTCACACACAAGGAGGACACTGTCACACACTGTCATGCACAAGCAGGACACTGTCACACACTGTCACACACAAGGACACTGTCACACACTGTCACACACTGTCATGCACAAGTAAGAAACTGTCACACACAAGGAGGACACTGTCACACACTGTCACACTCAAGGAGGACACTGTCACACACTGTCACTCACAAGGAGGACACTGTCACACACTGTCACACACTGTCATGCACAAGGAGGACACTGTCACACACAAGGAGGACACTGTCACACACTGTCACACTCAAGGAGGACACTGTCACACACTGTCACACTCAAGGAGGACACTGTCACACACTGTCACTCACAAGGAGGACACTGTCACACACTGTCACTCATTGTCACTCATTGTCATGCACAAGGAGGACACTGTCACACACTGTCACACACTGTCACACACTGTCACACACTGTCACTCACTGTCATGCACAAGGAGCACACTGTCACACACTGTCACACACTGTCACTCACTGTCATGCACAATGAACACACTGTCATTCACTGTCACACACAAGGAGCACACTGTCACACACTGTCACTCACTGTCACACACTGTCATGCACAATGAGCACACTGTCACACACTGTCATGCACAAGGAGCACACTGTCACACACTGTCACTCACTGTCATGCACAATGAGCACACTGTCACTCACTGTCACACACAAGTAGGACACTGTCACACACAAGGAGCACACTGTCACACACTGTCACTCACTGTTACACACAAGGAGCACAATGTCACTCACTGTCACACACAAGGAGGACACTGTCACACACAAGGAGCACACTGTCACTCACTGCCACACACAAGGAGGACACTGTCACACACTGTCACACACAAGGGGGACACTGTCAAACACAAGGAGGACACTGTCACACACAAGTAGGACACTGTCACACACTGTCACTCACTGTCACACACAAGGAGCACACTGTCACACACTGTCATGCACAATGAGCACACTGTCACTCACTGTCACACACAAGTAGGACACTGTCACACACTGTCACTCACTGTCATGCACAATGAGCACACTGTCACACACAAGTAGGACACTGTCACACACTGTCACTCACTGTCATGCACAAGGAGCACACTGTCACACACTGTCACTCACTGTCATGCACAATGAGCACACTGTCACACACTGTCACACACTGTCACTCACTGTCATGCACAAGGAGCACACTGTCACACACTGTCACTCACTGTCATGCACAATGAGCACACTGTCACTCAATGTCACACACAAGTAGGACACTGTCACACACTGTAACTCACTGTCACACACAAGGAGCACACTGTCACTCACTGTCACACAAAAGTAGGACACTCACACACAAGGAGCACACTGTCACTCACTGTCACACACAAGGAGGACACTGTTACACACTGTCACTCACTGTCACACAAGGAGGACACTGTCACACACAAGGAGGACACTGTCACCCACTGTCACTCACTGTCACACACAAGGAGCACACTGTCACACACTGTCACACACAAGTAGGACACTGTCACACACTGTCACACACTGTCACTCACTGTCATGCACAATGAGCACACTGTCACTCACTGTCATGCACAAGGAGCACACTGTCACACACTGTCACTCACTGTCATGCACAATGAGCACACTGTCACTCAATGTCACACACAAGTAGGACACTGTCACACACTGTAACTCACTGTCACACACAAGGAGCACACTGTCACTCACTGTCACACAAAAGTAGGACACTCACACACAAGGAGCACACTGTCACTCACTGTCACACACAAGGAGGACACTGTTACACACTGTCACTCACTGTCACACAAGGAGGACACTGTCACACACAAGGAGGACACTGTCACCCACTGTCACTCACTGTCACACACAAGGAGCACACTGTCACACACTCACTCATTGTCATGCACAAGGAGGACACTGTCACACACTGTCACTCACTGTTACACACAAGGAGGACACTGTCACACACTGTCACACACTGTCACTGTCATGCACAAGGAGCACACTGTCACTCACTGTCACACACAAGTAGGACACTGTCACACACAAGGAGCACACAAGGAGGACACTGTCACACACAAGGAGCACACTGTAAGACACACAAGTATCACTGTCACTTACTGTCACACACAAGGAGCTTACTGTCACCCACAAGGAGCACACTGTCACTTACTGTCACCCACAAGGAGCACACTGTCACACACAGTCACACACAAGGAGCACACTGTCACACACTGTCTGACACAAGGAGGACACTGTCACACACTGTCACTCACTGTCATGCACAAGGACACTGTCACACACAAGGAAGACACTGTCACACACAAGGAGGACACTGTCACACACTGTCACTCACAAGGAGGACACTGTCACACACTGTCATGCACAAGGAGGACACTGTCACACACTGTCACACACAAGGAGGACACTGTCAGACACTGTCACACAAGGAGGACATTGTCACACACAAGGAGGACACTGTCACACACAAGGAGGACACTGTCATGCACAAGGAGGACACTGTCACACACTGTCACACACAAGGAGGACACTGTCACACACTGTCACTCACAAGGAGGACACTGTCACACACTGTCACTCGTTGTCATGCACAAGTAGGACACTGTCACACACTGTCACACACTGTCACGCACTGTCACTCACTGTCATGCACAAGCAGCACACTGTCATACACTGTCACTCACTGTCATGCACAATGAGCACACTGTCACTCACTGTCACACACAAGTAGGACACTGTCACACACAAGGAGTACACTGTCACGCACTGTCACTCACTGTCATGCACAAGGAGCACACTGTCACACACTGTCACTCACTGTCATGCACAAGGAGGACACTGTCACACACTGTCACACACTGTCACTCACTGTCATGCACAATGAGCACACTGTCACTCACTGTCACACACAAGTAGGACACTGTCACACACAAGGAGCACACTGTCACACACTGTCACTCACTGTCACACACAATGAGCACACTGTCACTCACTGTCACACACAAGTAGGACACTGTCACACACAAGGAGCACACTGTCACTCACTGTCACACACAAGGAGCACACTGTCACACACAAGGAGCACACTGTAAGACACACAAGGAGCACACTGTCACACACTGTCACTCACTGTCACACACAAGGAGGACACTGTCACTCACTGTCACACAAAAGTAGGACACTGTCACACCCAAGGAGCACACTGTCACTCACTGTCACACACAAGGAGGACACTGTCACACACTGTCACTCACTGTCACACACAAGGGGGACACTGTCACACACTGTCACACACAAGGGGGACACTGTCACACAAAAGTAGGACACTGTCACACACACAAGGAGTACACTCTTACTCACTGTCACACAAAAGTAGGACACTGTCACACCCAAGGAGCACACTGTCACTCACTGTCACAGACTAGGAGGACACTGTCACACACTGTCACTCATTGTCATACACAAGGAGGACACTGTCACACACTGTCACACACTGTCACTCACTGTCATGCACAAGGAGCACACTGTCACTCACTGTCACACACAAGTAGGACACTGTCACACACAAGGAGCACACTGTAAGACACACAAGTTTCATTGTCACTTATGGTCACACACAAGGAGCACACTGTCACACACAAGGAGCACACTGTAAGACACACAAGGAGCACACTGTCACTCATAGTCATACACAAGGAGGACACTGTCACACACTGTCACACACTGTCACTCACTGTCATGCACAAGGAGCACACTGTCATACACAAGGAGCACACTGTAAGACACACAAGGAGCACACTGTCACTCACTGTCACACACAAGGAGCACACTGTCATACACAAGGAGGACACTGTAAGACACACAAGGGGCACACTGTCACACACAAGGAGGACAATATAAGACACACAAGGAGCACACTGTCACACACAAGGAGGACACTGTAAGACACACAAGGAGCACACTTTAAGACACACAAGAACACTGTCACACACAAGGAGCACACTGTCATACACAAGGAGGACACTGTAAGACACACAAGGAGCACACTGTCACACACAAGGAGGACAATATAAGACACACAAGGAGCACACTGTAAGACACACAAGGAGCACACTGTCACACACAAGGAGGACAATGTAAGACACACAAGGAGCACACTGTAAGACACACAAGGAGCACACTGTCACACACAAGGAGGACACTGTAAGACACACAAGGAGCACACTGTAAGACACATAAGGAGCACACTGTCACACACTGTCACACACAAGGAGCACACTTTAAGACACACAAGGAGCCCACTTTAAGACACACAAGGAGCACACTTTAAGACACACAAGGAGCACACTGTCACTCACTGTCACACACAAGGAGCACACTGTCATACACAAGGAGCACACTGTAAGACACACAAGGAGCACACTGTAAGACACACAAGGAGCACACTGTAAGACACACAAGGAGCACACTGTCACACACAAGGAGCACACTGTCATACACAAGGAGCACACTGTAAGACACACAAGGAGCACACTGTCACACACTGTCACACACAAGGAGCACACTGTCACACACAAGGAGCACACTATAAGACACACAAGGGGCACACTGTCGCACACTGTCACACACAAGGAGCACACTGTAAGACACAAGGAGCACACTGTCACTCACTGTCACACACAAGGAGCACACTGTCACACACAAGGAGCACACTGTAAGACACACAAGGAGCACACTGTCACACACTGTCACACACAAGGAGCACACTTTAAGACACACAAAGAGCACACTGTCACTCACTGTCACACACAAGGAGCACACTGTCACACACAAGGAGCCCACTATAAGACACACAAGGAGCACACTGTCACTTACTGTCACACACAAGGAGCACACTGTCACACACAAGGAGCACACTGTCATACACAAGGAGCACACTGTAAGACACACAAGGAGCACACTGTCACTTACTGTCACACACAAGGAGCACACTGTCACACACAAGGAGCACACTGTAAGACACACAAGGAGCACACTGTCACTTACTGTCACACACAAGGAGCACACTGTAAGACACACAAGGAGCACACTGTAAGACACACAAGGAGCACACTGTCACTTACTGTCACACACAAGGAGCACACTGTCACACACAAGGAGCACACTGTAAGACACACAAGGAGCACACTGTCACTCACTGTCACACAGAAGGAGCACACTGTCACACACAAGGAGCACACTATAAGACACACAAGGGGCACACTGTCACACAATGTCACACACAAGAAGCACACTGTCACACACTGTCACACAAGGAGCACACGTGCATGCATGTCGCTTTTTAAGTACAATAATCTTGGACGCGACGTTAAACCCCATTTCACCTCGCCTCAGAAATCTTCACAAAAACGGTTTCTTTTGAAAACCTTGGCTTCAGTAGAGAACGTCGTCTGTATACTGTAGGAAGATGAGTGACATTGTGTAAGTAATATTTCTGGTCACCGCGAATCGACATTGATGAAGTTAATACTAAAATCTTGTCATGTTGATGTACCCTGTAGGGTCGCCGATCAAGGAAAAGTGCCGCCTCCTTCCTTCTCCAAGGAACATCCTCGACGACCTGTTCTCTCGCCTCAACGCCGTCAATAACACCCTCACCGACACACGTACGTTATCTGGTATTTTGTTTGAAACGGAATATGTTTTCAATTAGAGTCCAAAACATGAAGCAATATAAATTATTTCAGAATTTTCGAACTGACAGAAATGATTTTGTCTAAAATAATATCCCAGGGCAACACCTTCCGATCCAGAAAAAAAGACAGTCTTCATGATATATCTTTGTATTGGGATCTCTGCTTTGTAGAAGGGGGCACGGGTGGCCCAGTCGTCTAAGGCGCCGCGGTTCGCTGTGCTGAGTTGCGTCCCTTGGGCACACCAGAAACCTATGACTGTGGGTTCGAATCCCTGTTTGCCCCGATTGTGTTTCTAGGTTTGTAAGCACCATACCAGTGCTCGTGGGCTTCACCGAAGTGGTAAACGTCTGAGACCTGCATCACTTCGGGCTTTCCTCCCACATTCAACTGACACGCCGCGATATAAATAGAATACTGTTTAAAGCGGCGTTAAATCAAACTCACTCACTCACTCACTCACTCTGCTTTGTAGAGCTAAGTGCATTGCTAGCTAAGTTGAACCTCGCTGGTGCCAAGAAGGAGGAGGACCATTCAGGCCACAACCACAGGAGACGGAGAAGTCCTGGCCTTGTGTCCCGTGACCTTGTGTCCCCCGACCTTGTGTCCCCCGACCTTGTGTCCCGCGTGAAGAGACAGACTCATGACGGACACGACCATGGCGCGGTCACGGTAAGTTGACAATCTTAATCATAATTCAGATAATGTCACAATCATTAATAATTACGAAATACGTTACAGTGATGAAATGCGTTATGGCGATGCAAAACATTACGATGACGAAATACGTTAGGGTTGTAAACTGTTTTACTAGTGAACCGTTCCATTTTTATGATCATTATAAATCATTTATAACTAGATAACCCTGACAATTTCACCAGGTTCCTAAAGACTGTTACTCAGTTGGTGAGATCATGGCCATCCATGGCTTGGGTCATGATGACGTCATCACCGAGAGCAAGCTGGTGGAGTTGTGTCCCACCCTAGTGTACATGCAGGTGGCAGGGTCGTGTGTCGCCACCCACAACACCACACAACCAGCCACGCCCACCCTGGCGGAACGTAAGTGTGATTCTTCACCCACAACACCACACAACCAGCCACGCCCTCCCTGGCGGAACGTAAGTGTGATTCATCACCCCCAACACCACACAACCAGCCACGCCCTCCCTGGCGGAACGTAAGTGTGATTCATCACCCACAACACCACACAACCAGCCACGCCCACCCTGGCGGAACGTAAGTGTGATTCATCACCCACAACACCACACAACCAGCCACTCCAACCATATACTATCTTGGTGTACATGCAAATCTCTGACAAACAAACCACACTTCATTGCTATTTCACTGCATTGATTCATGCACGTTCTTGACAACAGCTTGTATTGCAGTTACTTATATTATGTGAAACCATAAAGCAAGCAATGGGGTGGTATCATAAACATATTTCCCACAGAAAATTGTTTAAAAATGCATAATTCTCTTCATTTTTTAAATAGAATATTTAATAATTGTTTTGTGTTCTATTTATCTACCAGAATTTTTATTTTAGTATTTTTTACGACAGAACCTAAATTATGTGTCATGTGAATGTCTGAAGAACGAGGTCTGTTTCAGGATACGGATACGGTTCCCTAGCAACGCTGATCATCTGTCTGTGCGCTGTACTGGGCGCCATCCTCTTCCCCTTCCCTAAGGGCACCTGCTATGAGGCGTTTATGGCCATCTTTCTTGGACTTGCTGTCGGCACGCTGTACACTGACGCCATCTTGCATCTCATACCTCAGGTCAGCTGTGTACATGGGTACCCGGTAGTTATGCATTTCCTGATCATTATCAACATCAAGGATTGTCATCAAGTCCCTTGGCAAAGTTTATTTGTTTGCTGTTCACGCCGCACCCACTAACATTCCATCTATATGACGGCGGTCTGTAAATAGTCGATAAGTGATTGGCCTCATGAGAATCCATCTACGAAATTGGGACACGATGACATGCATCAACCAATTCAGCGAGCCTGATCACCCGTTCCGTTAGTCGCCTCTTGCGACGAGCATGGAATGCTGAAAGCCAATCCTAACCTTGATCTTCACGGGCTGACATTTATATCCTTAAGTCAGGGACAAAGCATCCCCCCGAAACGACATCATTGTCCATCGAAACAACTGCAACCAGTGACAGTGACAGACTGTCGGTTATAACAACAGTTATCTGTCAATCCGTACAACAATATCTTTGTTATTGCAGGCACTCGGTCTTCACAACCATGGAGAAGGCGAAGACGCGCATGCGCACGCCGAGACATCCGGTCCAGTGATAGAGGACTACACGTGGTATGCCGTAGTGGTAGTTGCAGGTGAGACAATCTGCCACGTGGCTGGGACACATTGCTGTCGTGTTTACTTAGACCCTGACGTATGAAATAAATATACCTGCCAAAATTATGCAAATACTGCTGTGGAAGACATTCTGTAATCATCATCATTTTTTAGTGCCATAATCTTGAACGCCACCATAAACCCGCAACGATTACACCACACCTCACATCACTTCACTATATAACCAGTCACGCGTATTATTTCTTAGGTGATGTGGGATTTAACGTGGCGTCCAAGAATATTGCACTTATATCGCGACGTGCATGCACGCGTGTGTGGTTGCTTGTACTAGTTCGGACAAATGCCGATTTTATCGTGCTTGCCCACTGAGATACCATGCGGCAGTTTAACATGAATACACCACTCAGATACAGTGTACTGATTCCGAGCCGACCAGTCCTTGTGTTAGCTACTTACTGCCGAGCGCCAGATAGGGTAATAACAAGTCCCATCTTTTAACGTCTTTGGGGTTATGACGCGACCCGGGCTCGAACCCCGGATCTTCCGCTCTCCGGGCGGACGCGGAGGCGGTCTAATTATTTCTTAAATACATATGAAAAACATATTAACACGAACAACATGTAAAGTGGGACTTGGCTTTGAGATTCCTTATCTCGAAAAAAGCTAGACTCACTGGGAGCTAACCCCTGAAGATCCGGGGTAGAATAGGTAGAACCCATGCGACTAACAGGATCGGGTGGTCAGGCTCGGGGACTTGGTTGATACATGTCATCGATTACAATTGTGCGGATCTATGCTCATGATGGATTGTCTGGTCCAAATTCGATTATTTACAGACCGCCGTCATATAGCTGGAATATTGCCAAGTGCGGCGTTAAATTGAAAATTAAACGAGACTTACAAGTAAGTTGAAGTTTGATTAAGATTATATGAAACTAATCACAAGTATAGGGATCACGTGAGATAGCGAAAGCGAGGTCAGTCAGACTTTAAAGTGTTTGAAACCCGTAACCACACAGGAAGGGAGACAGCTACTGCAGTAGTAGGGTGGGCACGTGATCCCTATACTTGTGATTAGTTTCATATAATCTTAATCAAACTTCAACTTACTTGTAAGTCTCGTTTAATTTTCAATTATATTTCAACCAATCACGTTGTAGTACGTGATCACGTGAGATGTTTAAAGCGTTCAGGGTTTCAAACAAACCACAAAACAGTCACTGATAAACAAAATTGAGTTTATTTCAGATATAATTTACAGCTTCCAATGATGTGACTGAGCAATTTTCATTAACAAGAACTTTTATCGAGAATTGACAAAGCAAATGCAGAGTGATTATTTACAGGTTTGTTGTAATACTTGGTAAACAACAAATATTGGGAACCTAGAACAATGCCATGATGTTTTTTTAACACCGTTTGAACACAAAAACAGCGTATATTAACAGCGTGTTTACAGAGGGAGTGTGTGTTCTGTGTGTGTTCTGTGTGTGTTCTGTGTGTGTTCTGTGTGTGTTCTGTGTGTGTTCTGTGTGTGTTCTGTGTGTGTTCTATGTGTGTTCTGTGTGTGTTCTATGTGTGTTCTGTGTGTGTTCTGTGTGTGTTCTGTGTGTGTTCTGTGTGTGTTCTGTGTGTGTTCTGTGTGTGTTCTGTGTGTGTTCTGTGTGTGTTCTGTGTGTGTTCTGTGTGTGTTCTATGTGTGTTCTGTGTGTGTTCTGTGTGTGTTCTGTGTGTGTTCTGTGTGTGTTCTGTGTGTGTTCTGTGTGTGTTCTGTGTGTGTTCTGTGTGTTCTGTGTGTGTTCTGTGTGTGTTCTGTGTGTGTTCTGTGTGTGTTCTGTGTGTGTTCTGTGTGTGTTCTGTGTGTGTTCTGTGTGTGTTCTGTGTGTGTTCTGTGTGTGTTCTATGTGTGTTCTGTGTGTGTTCTGTGTGTGTTCTGTGTGTGTTCTGTGTGTGTTCTGTGTGTGTGTTCTGTGTGTGTTCTGTGTGTGTTCTGTGTGTGTTCTGTGTGTGTTCTGTGTGTGTTCTGTGTGTGTTCTGTGTGTGTTCTGTGTGTGTTCTGTGTGTTCTGTGTGTGTTCTGTGTGTGTTCTGTGTGTGTTCTGTGTGTGTTCTGTGTGTGTTCTGTGTGTGTTCTGTGTGTGTTCTATGTGTGTTCTGTGTGTGTGTTCTGTGTGTGTTCTGTGTGTGTTCTGTGTGTGTTCTATGTGTGCTCTGTGTGTGTTCTATGTGTGTTCTGTGTGTGTTCTGTGTGTGTTCTGTGTGTGTTCTGTGTGTGTTCTATGTGTGCTCTGTGTGTGTTCTGTGTGTGTTCTGTGTGTGTTCTGTGTGTGTTCTGTGTGTTCTGTGTGTGTTCTGTGTGTGTTCTGTGTGTGTTCTGTGTGTGTTCTGTGTGTGTTCTGTGTGTGTTCTGTGTGTGTTCTATGTGTGTTCTGTGTGTGTTCTATGTGTGTTCTGTGTGTGTTCTGTGTGTTCTGTGTGTGTTCTGTGTGTGTTCTGTGTGTGTTCTGTGTGTGTTCTGTGTGTGTTCTATGTGTGTTCTATGTGTGTTCTGTGTGTGTTCTGTGTGTGTTCTGTGTGTGTTCTGTGTGTGTTCTGTGTGTGTTCTGTGTGTGTTCTGTGTGTGTTCTGTGTGTGTTCTGTGTGTGTTCTGTGTGTGTTCTGTGTGTGTTCTGTGTGTGTTCTGTGTGTGTTCTGTGTGTGTTCTGTGTGTTCTGTGTGTGTTCTATGTGTGTTCTGTGTGTGTTCTGTGAAGGATAGGCACACCAGTGTTGACTTTCACCTTTGACCCCCCAGGTACATACGGGTTCTACTTGATCGAGGCTGCGATGAAGGTCCTAGGCTCTGGACATGGTGTAAGTATCTAATCATCTTCAAATGGCAATGGCGCGGGATACATTGCAACTCCCCTTATGAAGAAATAGAGCGTAGAACGTGGGATTTAAATGTGTATTTGGAAAAGATAATGTCTTTGCATTGAGAACCTGGAAGCTATACAACTGTCCCCGAGGTCGGTCACGGGGTGGTGTTCAACTTACAGCCTGTATTTATGTTTGTAAGAGTCTTGTTACACACTCACGCCTGTATATCAGTCAGTAAATGTGTGCGCCAGTAGATATCGGTGTATGTCAGTTAATGTTGAAGACATCCATGACATTATGATAAACTGCACATATAGACATACTGTAAACTACGTTAATAACGAACTCTCTTATAACAAACTGACCGATATAACGAACTTATTTTTTAGTCCAGGCCATTTGTTATATGCTGTATATATGCTTTTAACGGATATTACGAACTACAATTAGTGGTCCCTTTGAGTTCGTTATAGCCGTAGTTTACCGTAGATAAAAAACTCTACTTTTCATATTGACATAGACGTTTAATACTATTGCACACATTGAAATAGACGTATTTCTTTTAAAAAATATAATTTACTTTTGAAATAGTCAGTGGTATACGCCATGCATAGATAGGCATGTTTCCCTGTGATTGCATGGTGTAGACGTTGTAGACGTTGCCTCCAGTGTATATCGTTGTTGTTGCAGCACTCCCACGGGAACCCTTCAGTGGAGCTCGGTGGGCCGGAAGATATCAAATATGTCGTGAGTGATTACCTTGGACTTATCGACCGTAAAAAATGCCATAAAAAATGCCGGATGTGTGAGTTTTGTGGGATCTTTTCATATACTAATAATAGTTATTTAGTGATGTGGTAGTCTTTAGAACGGGGACACATGAAACTGAAAACAGACATTCCAAAGGAAGTTGAAATCAGACAAGCAAGAAGTTTGTTTATTTGTTTGTTGTTTAAAGTTGAACCCGACAATCCAGTGAATTATCTTGAGCGTCGATCCATACAATTGGGATACGATGACATGCATCAACCAAGTCAGCGAGCCTGACCACCCGATCCCGTTAGTCGCCTCTTACAAGCATAGTCGCCTCTTACGACAAGCATACTCGCCTCTTACGACAAGCATAGTCGCCTCTTACGACAAGCATGGGTTGCTGAAGACCAACTCTTACCCGAATCTCCACGGGTCCAGGCAAGAAGTAAAACTTCAGCGGCAGAGCCTGTGAGGGTGGACCGTCGGCTCGAGTATGAGGTTTGATATACCGAGGGTCCACTGTGTACAGATATTTACTTTTATTTCAGACAAAACAGGCGGGCGGCTTTGTGGTCGAAGAGGAGGGAAAGAAGAACTCGGGTACGTAGAAGTAGAAGCAGCTGGTGGAGGCCCCGCAACACTCCAGCAATTCTCCACACATGCTCTTTAGGCATCGGATGTCGTATAACTAGATATACTCGACTCGAATATCAGGAATATAGACAAAACATACAATTCAAGTCACATTTTACTCATCAACGCTTAGCCTGATATTTACGCTTATGAATAAAAGATCTTAAATTGCTTCCCAGCAAGGCTGTCGATACGATTGGGGCATTCGAACATTTTTCTCAAATACTACGTTTAGCTGGCTTCACTGGTACTCCAAACAGGGTGTGCGAACACTTATGGAAGGTATCGTAGCTCGGCTGTTAGCGTGTTCGTCACTTAGAAGATCCGGTTTTACTTCTCAAGTGGGTACATTGTTTGAATCTCATTCCTGGTGTCCCATATGTGATATTACTGGAATATTGTTAAACACTCACTCTCTCAATCGTTTACTCAATCGTTTACTCACTCACTCACTCAAGTGTGCTGTAGGTTATACCTGTCGCTGCACGTTTCTCTTCAACATATACTATTTTGAAACCTGACCCCGTGATGTACGCCTTCACAACATCGTAATGACACTGCCATGTTCAAAAAGAACCTTTCCTTGGCGTTTCTACAGGATTCACGACGCTTGCCTTCATGGTGATAATCGGGGACGCTGTTCACAACTTCGCCGACGGTCTGGCAGTGGGCGCCGCCTTCAGTCTCAGCGTCTCCAGCGGCATCAGCACCAGCATCGCCGTCTTCTGCCATGAACTGCCACACGAACTGGGTACATTTGTTTGTTTGTTGTTTGACGCCGCACTCAGCACTATTCCAGCTATATGACGGCGGTCTGTTAATAATCGAGTCTGGGCCAGACAATCCAGTGATTGACGTCATGAGCATCAATCTACGTAATTGGGATGCAATGACATGATTCACCCAAGTCTGCGAGCCTGACCATTAGTCGCCTCTTACGAAAAGCATAGCCGTCTCTTAAAAGAAGTATGGGTTGCTGAAGAACTATTCTACCCCTGATCTTCACCGGACACAGTAAAAAATACCGCGAATCTTAGAACATTGCTATTGAATGATAGCAAATACAATGTAGCACTCAGTTGTTTTCTTGTGGTACTGGAATAGTTTATACTGATAGGAAACTGAGAGGAAACTGATACATACTTATCCCCTTTGTATATTTTTGCTTGAAATGAAGCGTCAGGTCCATGGCAATATCAAGATTAACCAGTCAACCACCCGGAATGATGGGAAGATCGCTGTGACGAACTTAATAACAAACAGTATCCAACACCGAAATATTCACATGTATCGTTGGCTGCTTCATGCCTTGACTCAGTGAACACATGTTTAGCATCAGCGTTAATATATGTATCTTCTTTAGCATCAGCGTTAATATATGTATCTTCTCTCTGCCATAGGCGACTTCGCTGTGCTGCTGACGAGCGGGATGTCGTTCAAGAGGGCGCTGTTCTGGAACTTCTTGTCTGCCTTGACGGCGTTTATAGGACTTTACATCGGGCTCTCCATCTCTACAGACCCGCTGGTCCGACGGTGGATATTTACCGTCACAGCCGGGATGTTCATCTACATCGCCCTAGTCGACCTGGTCAGTAACGACATCAATTACGACTTGTTTCATGCGTTGTTGGAACTTTACGAGTTGCGGATGTATGACCCAGTATCTTGTCATGATAGCACATTGAGTGGGCGGGAGGGAGCAACTGCATCTTCCCGAGGCAAGGGAGGTAACTGACTGTAAAAGTCAAGTCAGGTAACGTCCTTGCGGAGGAACTGTGGATTTTGGGCATTCTGTTTTAAAGGTTGGAAGATGTAGCAAGTTGACCGGGGACATCTGCAAGGTGTTATTATCTGGACGTGAGTATTCAAATGTTGATGAATAACTTCGTGTATTTTCAGTTGCCGTCTCTTATCAACAACGTGACCAGACACCGGAAGTTATTGTTTGTGATGCACAACGTGGGGATATTGACTGGTTTCCTCGTCATGCTGCTCATCGCGTTCTATGAAGAAAAGATTACCATCTAAGGTGAGACGGACCTCGGTTTCACACCGTCTTCTAATCGTGCTACCCCCACCGCTTCTACTGCTGCTACTACTACTACTACTACTACGATGACGACTACTACGACTACTACAACTAATACTTAAAATTTCGGCGGATAATAGACTACTACTTCAACTACGACTTATATGAGGACCCGTCAAGATCCGGGTCTTCAGCAACCCATGCTGGTCGTTAGAGGCGACTAACGGGGTCAGGTGGTCGGGCTCGGTGACTTGGTTGATGCATGTCATCGTATCCAAATCGATGCTTATGATATCAATCACTAATTATCTGGTCCAGATTCGAGGATGTACACACCGCCAACACATAGCTGGAATATTGCTGAATGTAACGTTTAACAACAAACAAACAAACTAACTACTACTACTACTACTACTACTACTACTACCAAATAGATCGGGAGGTAAGGCTCGGTGATTTGGTTGATCGCGTGACATCGTATCCGATGGAGTGGATCGTTTTTTCATTATGTCAAACAGTAGTTGTCTGGTCCAGGCTGGCTTCGTATAGCTGGAATATAGCTGCGTGCCGCGTTAAATAATACACAGACACACGAAGGGCTGTGAAGTTGATCTCAGTCTGACGCGGACTTCATCGCGGGTACAAATGCCGTGCCTGGAGTCTATAACGTCATCACGGAGTGTATATTTTACGGGCGCCTCCCAGATATTGACTGGAGCCCGCCTGTGCGCCCATGGTATACATGGAGACTTCATATCGCCGATATTTTCTTAGACGTAATGCTGTTGGAAAAAAGTAAGAAAAGTTTCATGTTTTTGATGGTGTGTTTAGTGAAGGACTTGTTTAGATTAACCAGATGAAACGCCAGTTTGTGTGCGTCACCTGTTTTTAACATCACATTTTGCCATAGCAACTACGCAAATCACGAGCTCGTGGGACCGTTAGAATTGTCATCACAATAGGTTGAAATAACATGTCAGTAACTTGATATATCAGTTGGTTGGTATATCGGTAACGTCAGTTTATCAGTTATATTCTTTTTTTGCTATTACATACGTTGTTCATCGTTTTAGTAAAACTTTGTACTGCAAATTCGTTAAATAAGTATAGTTGGCTATATCAGTAGTTTGTTGTGTAAGCAGTATTGATGTAAGGTTGTTTTGTTGCAGGGATTAAGGACGAGACTGGACGTGGAGTATCGATGTTGGGTCACGTGGTGATGCAACCCGATAACTTGGCTCTAACAATACTTGTTATAAGATAAGATAAGATAATATTTTATTGCAGAAACGTTCCATTACGGGACAGATGCAATTTTAAAAGACAAGACATTATGATTTATATATACATATATACAGACATACATAATTTACATTCCTGTAGACACATACAGAAACAAAATAATCAATATTATATATTTTTATACATAAAGTGTCAACGGTTGATTATGAAAGGGTATTTATTGTTTGAAATTATAGATGTGGAAACAAATGCAGTTGATATTGACTGCTTCATTATTTGATAGGATGTATTGAAATAATTTGTCTCCATGACTGTAGTATATTTCTTTCTCGAGTGTGTTTAATACAGTGAAGTAAGTAATGTTTGTCGTTATCAATGATTGAACATGTAGAGCATAGCCTCTGATGTAGTGGGGTTGGTGGCTTTGTGTGTCTTCCAAGTTCAATATTTAATTTATGGTTACTTAATCTTAGTTTAGAAAAGTGGACTCGATATTTTTTTACTTTACAGTGACTGAGATAGGGTTCTAATTTTATTTCCTTTTTAACTATCCTATATGTCCTAAGTTTGTTTCCTGTGCCTCTTGTTGTATTTACATCTGAAGAGATTCCTTGAAGAGGGAGTTGAATTTAGGTTTGATTTTCTCTTTGAATATTGGTGATAGGAAAGTTGAAATACTCAAATTGTGTTTTCCTAAGAATAGATTTAGCTGGTATACCCATCCTAATCGTTTTTTCACCAAATATGTACTTTCTGTAAAAGCGTTCTGAAGTATTATGTTTTTGGAAGAACAGACATGGTGATAAAAATTTGCTATTTTGATTAATACTGTGTAGATAAGGGGGTAGAGTCCTAGTTCAGCTCGGCTTGCCCAGTTATGTGTTGTTTTGTTGACACCTAATATGGATTTACAAAATTTGAGCTGCAGTTTTTCGGGGATAAATGAATCAAAGTTGTTCAGGAGGATTGATTCTACACCCCAGATTTCACTATTATATAAAATTACTGGCTCGATTAATGTTTTAAATAGTTTGCAAGCAAGAGCTATTGGTATATCTTGGTTAAAAATGGTGGACTGAAGCTTGTGGTAGGCCCCTAGGCCTTTTTTCAAGAGCACTGTTTTTAAGTTTACCATTTGCTTCGAAGCGTATTCCTAAATAGTTATAACTATCTGTAACTAGTATTTTTGTATCACCTATGGTCCAAGTATTCTTTTCTTCTGTTTTAATTGATTGTCCAAACACTACAACATTTGTTTTATCACTATTAATCTTTAGGTTATTTGTGGCACAAAATACCTTTAGTCCATCAAATAACACTTGTAGATTTTGGGGGGAATCGGCAAATAGAACTTGTTATATATACTGACTGGAGAGTGCACCAAGGGGAGACAACTCCCGGTGAACCACATCCCTGTGACAAAAAGAACATCCTGGCCTACATTTCATAACATACATGGTGCTAGATAGGGCACTAACATACTGAACAGAACACGTTAGGCGTCATGAATATTTGGGGAATATTTGATGAAATTGTGTGCAAATAGATTCGTGTTTTGTAAATTTCTTTGTTCAGTATAGATAGGTAACATTGCAATTCACATGATAAACGAGGCTGGCTTCCTTGCGGATACAGGCGGATATTTACAGACACCAGGTGCATTCTGGGTAAGTGTCCGATAGCGTCCACAAGGAAGCTAGAAGATTAAAATCTCTGTTTTTTTGTCCCGTGTTAGTAGAATAAACATTGAAACATGTTTGAAACTCGGACGTAACGTGTGCCATACAGTGTGACTAGGTGACCCCCTGCAGTTTTGGGGGTGGGTGAGAGGGTGAGGGAGGGAGGGTGAGGTGGGGTGGGGAGACCGTGTATATGGCGGAAGGTGTCACCGTGTGCTAGTTCCATTTCATATATCCCCGTGCTATGGGTTTTCGGACTCTTAAGAAACATTTGTAATTTTCTCGTTAATCACAAGAACAACTGTAAACATCTCATTCACTTAAAAAAGACGACTTTATCTTAAAAAACCCAGATCATCATCTGTGTGACGCCACACTCCTTGTTATAGCGCGAGTCCTCGCTGTAAAGAGGGCCGTCCGATAACCCGTATACACCCCGTGTGACGATGCCTTGTGCCTGGATGCTGGGTGGTTGTGAACTCCGTGTTGGAGATACTGCTACTGTTGATGGTCCCGCCTCATCAGTTACTCTGCCACGGTTCTATGTGCATGTGTACTTTGGATACACGTACAATAGTACAACACAATATAATTGTATTCAGAATGTAGGCCTTCCACTCCACAATGCTCAGTACAAGCAGTTTATGTGATAAATAATAATACATTATCGTAATTGCCATTTCAAATGCGTACAAACAAAATACAACATACGGCTAACATCTCGGCAGTAACCTGTCCTCAGTGATCACTTCATATAATGTTTACCTTGAGAGATACCCTTACAAATTCAAGTGGCTTAGGGGCATTCACACGGTACAACTAATTGTATACAATTTGTTGCATGCAACACATTGCATCGTGTGAACTGCAAGTCGGTCCAACTTTTGACGTATGCATCTTGTTGGACGTGAGTTGTGCGAAATAGGGCATGCTCTATTTTCATGCGACTAGTTGTATACGACTAGTTGTATAATGCGAATGCCCCTTTAGAGTGCTTTGCTGTGTTTGAAACATCATTCGTAGATATGAAACAAATTCATCCTCAGTAAATACATTTAAAAACGTTACTCTATCCAATTCTTCCTTTAGATAAAACTGAAATATAAAATATACGGACCACACCAGGACATATGTCTGTAACATATGTATCAGAATGTTGTATATCCTCACAAAAGTGCATCTAGCCTTTTTGTTTTTTTGTTTGTTTGTTTGTTGTTTAACGTCGCACTCAGCAATATTCCAGCTATAAGACGGCGGTCTGGAAATAATCGACTCTGGACCAGACAATCCAGTGATTGACATCTTGAGCATCGATCCACACAATTGGGATACGTGACATGTTTCAACCAAGTCAGCGAGCCTGACCACCCGATCCCGTTAGTCGCCTCTTACGACAAGCACAGTCGCCTTTTACGTTAAGCATGGGTTGCTGAAGACCTTGGCTTCTGATTGTCCTGAATGCATAATATCTTACCTCATGCATGCACTAGAGTGCTAGGACTCAATGTTGTACATAATTATACAGGCTTTTAATACTACAGAACCACAGACACTGATTGGTGTGGAGTATTTTAAAGACAATTGTAAATACGTCCACACATTGGCCCTACTTACATTTGTACCTGAACACATCCTGTTTCATGTAAATGTCTGACGCCGCCAAGGCGATTTGTATTGTGTATAAATGCATATAAACATGTTCATTAACGAATGAATGTTGTAATATTGACGATTTTAAATGTTTACTCTTCCTGTATATTTAGTTTTCTCAATAAACAAATTTTGAAATCTTGAAAATACCAATGCCTTAACATGAGCAAGGGAGGTAACTCAGTTGAGTCTCAGTTCCTGCCCCATAGACTCGATGGGCGGGGTGATGTTCTGAATTATGTTTTCTACCGAGAATGGCGTAACACAGAAATTAAAAAGGACTGGACTAATTGTAAATTTATTTGAAACCCGACATTTGAAGGCAGATAGTGTCAGTCATCGATAACAACGATGCGACTTGGACAATATAAACTGAAGCAGTTGGGGGTGAGGTGAGGTAAGGTGAGGTGAGGTGAGGTGAGGTTTAACGTCGAGTTCAAGATTATTGCACTTATATAGAGACGTGCATGTATGTGTGTGTGTTTGTGTGGCTGCTTGTACTAGTCCGGACTGATGCCGATTTATAGTGCTAGCTCACTGAGATACCATGCCGCAGTTTCACATGAATACCCCACTCACACACAGTATACTGACTCCGAGCCGACCAGTCCTTGTTTTAGCCCTCTCAATGCCGAGCGCCAGACAGGGTAACAACAAGTACCATCTTTTAACGTCTTTTGGTATGACGCGGTCGGGGATCGAACCCCGTTCTCCGGGCGGATGCTCTACCACTAGACCACAGAGGCGGTCGGGGGTGAGGTGAGGTGAGGTGAGATGGGGTTTAACGTCGCGTTCAAGAGAAATACACTTACATATATACGTCCATGTAAGTACATGCCCGTGTGTGTATATGTAAGTGCGTATGTGCGTGGCTGCTTGTACTGGTCCGGACTTAAGCCTGTTTTATTGTATTAGATCACTGAGATGCCATGTCGAAGTTTAACATGGATGCAGTATACGGACCCCAAACCAGACAATCCAGTGACTGATATCATGAGTCACGTACGATGACAAGCTATTAGCGACGTCACCGAGCCTGATCACCCAATCCATGCCCCCAACATAGCTATTATCTAACCCGGACTTCCCACGGGTGTGCAAGAGAAGTATTTGTGTCGTATTTCATGTATTTAATTACAATATATATCGTACAGGACACACCCCGTGTCTTTCTAAACAAATACGGAAAATTCACACACATTATTTACGAATGATATTTTATTTTGTAGTGTACAAGTATTTGTTTATTTATCAGTTATCATGCTCAATTCACGTGTACTGTTTCAAATAATATCAGTAATCGTATATAGTTAATAATCGAAGAATAGTTACGTGACGAAATGTGTTCACAGTAGGGGAAATCATCACTGGAGTCAGCATGTCGCCATCAAAATAGGGCTTGTTTACTGTAAGGTGGTCGAAGGTCGCGTAGCAACATAATCACAGTCAAACAGTCCCTATTATAGCAGTACGATTTGTAAAGGTGCACTTTTAGTTTGCTTGTTCTCTGTAAGGGGCGTATCTACACCCCGGGTGCGACCCGGCGATGTACGCCCCATCCCCGTCCGAGTCTCTGTTCTACTGACTTCAATTTGGGGCGTATGGGGCGTATCTACACCCCGGGTGCGACCCGGCGATGTACGCCCCATCCCCGTCCGGGTCATTGTTCTTCTGACCTCCATTTGGGGCGTATTTACACCCTGGATGAGACCCGGCGATGTACGCCCCATCCCCTTCCGAGTCATTGTTGTTCTGACTTCCATCTGGGGCGTATGGAGCGTATCTACACCCTGGGTGGGACCCGGCGATGCACGGTCCGACATCTCTTCCAGTGGTTTGATCAGTTGACACACCCTGCTGAGAGATAAGCACAAAACATCGGACTGAAAAATGGAAAAGCAGAATACCTGCAATGTAAGTAACAACATATATCTCCTTCGTAGCTATTGCACGTGGCGGATCGATAATCGACCATCGGCGACTGAGTTGATAATGAGGTAAGCTTGGGAGCTGAAGAAAGTTTGTTTGTTTGTTTGTTGCTTAAACGCCGCGCTAAGCAATATTCCTGCTATATGACGGCACTCTGTAAATAATCGAGTCTGGACAAGACAATCCAGTGATTGACATCTTGAGGATCAACCAAGTCAGCGAGCCTGACTACCAGACTCCGTTAATCGCCTCTTACGACAAGCACGGGTTGCTGAAGGCCTATTCTCTGCCCGCATCTTCACGGGTCGTGAATCAATTTGTGGACGAAATCGCTATGAACGTGGTATTTGGACAACTGTTTTTGTTTTTTCTAGTATACGTCGACAGTGAACATGTAAACAGGGTTGGGAGGCGATGTTGAAGTCACTTCAGCGATTTAAAGTACCTGCATCACTTTGAGCTTTCATCGTGATATGCCTGGAATACTGTTCAAAGCGGCGTTAAACCGACCTCACCCACTCACTCACTCATCGTGATATGCCTGGAATACTGTACAAAGCGGCATTAACCCACCTCACCCACTCACTCACTCATCGTGATATGCCTGGAATACTGTTCAAAGCGGAGTTAAACCCACCTCACCCACTCACTCACTCATCGTGATATGCCTGGAATACTGTTCAAAGCGGAGTTAAACCCACCTCACCCACTCACTCACTCATCGTGATATGCCTGGAATACTGTACAAAGCGGCGTTAACCCACCTCACCCACTCACTCACTCATCGTGATATGCCTGGAATACTGTTCAAAGCGGAGTTAAACCCACCTCACCCACTCACTCACTCATCGTGATATGCCTGGAATACTGTTCAAAGCCGAGTTAAACCCACCTCACCCACTCACTCACTCATCGTGATATGCCTGGAATACTGTACAAAGCGGCGTTAAACCCACCTCACCCACTCACTCACTCATCGTGATATGCCTGGAATACTGTACAAAGCGGCGTTAACCCACCTCACCCACTCACTCACTCATCGTGATATGCCTGGAATACTGTTCAAAGCGGAGTTAAACCCACCTCACCCACTCACTCACTCATCGTGATATGCCTGGAATACTGTTCAAAGCGGAGTTAAACCCACCTCACCCACTCACTCACTCATCGTGATATGCCTGGAATACTGTTCAAAGCGGAGTTAAACCCACCTCACCCACTCACTCACTCATCGTGATATGCCTGGAATACTGTTCAGAGCGGAGTTAAACCCACCTCACCCACTCACTCACTCATCGTGATATGCCTGGAATACTGTTCAAAGCGGAGTTAAACCCACCTCACCCACTCACTCACTCATCGTGATATGCCTGGAATACTGTACAAAGCGGCGTTAACCCACCTCACCCACTCACTCACTCATCGTGATATGCCTGGAATACTGTTCAAAGCGGAGTTAAACCCACCTCACCCACTCACTCACTCATCGTGATATGCCTGGAATACTGTTCAAAGCCGAGTTAAACCCACCTCACCCACTCACTCACTCATCGTGATATGCCTGGAATACTGTACAAAGCGGCGTTAAACCCTACTCACCCACTCACTCACTCATCGTGATATGCCTGGAATACTGTACAAAGCGGCGTTAACCCACCTCACCCACTCACTCACTCATCGTGATATGCCTGGAATACTGTTCAAAGCGGAGTTAAACCCACCTCACCCACTCACTCACTCATCGTGATATGCCTGGAATACTGTTCAAAGCGGAGTTAAACCCACCTCACCCACTCACTCACTCATCGTGATATGCCTGGAATACTGTTCAAAGCGGAGTTAAACCCACCTCACCCACTCACTCACTCATCGTGATATGCCTGGAATACTGTTCAGAGCGGAGTTAAACCCACCTCACCCACTCACTCACTCATCGTGATATGCCTGGAATGCTGTACAAAGCGGCGTTAACCCACCTCACCCACTCACTCACTCATCGTGATATGCCTGGAATACTGTAAAAAGCGGAGTTAAACCCACCTCACTCACCCACTCACTCACTCATCGTGATATGCCTGGAATACTGTACAAAGCGGAGTTAAACCCACCTCACTCACTCACTCACTCACATCATCGATAACATCAGTACAACTCCCGATTCTTAACTCGGTCAACAGAGGAGAAAACTGACTACAAAATACACATCATGTACTGAAATAATTTCATATTTTACTGTAATGAATACTTTATCAGAAAAACAGCTTGCAGTCTGTTATATTTAAATTACAATGAACACAACGGAATAGCCCTAGTCAGACGGTGCTCGAGATTTTAACGACATTTATTCCATATATTCTGATTTAAATATGTGTGATTATTCTGCGGCGCTAAATGTCCTTAATACCCAGCCGACATTGCCACTCAGCAGATACGAAAAAGAACTAACAGACAGGATGACCAACCTTCGCGACGGACCTGGTGGTTTTCGACTGGGAACTCATGTTGATCCTGAAAAGCCGCGACAGCGCAGTCGAAAACTGACGAGGTTCAATCGATGTCGACCCAGCACAGACTACCAGCTAGCTGGCTATCCCGGGTGTTTTTAATACTATTTCACGTGAATCAAACTGCCTTATTAGCATTATTGCAAAACACCCACACAGAGCAGATCGTGACATTTGCAAATTTCTAAGTGCATTATTTTAATGAAAAAGACTGACTTCTCATAGACAAATAAGAAATTAATTGCACTGGTTTGTATATCGTGGGCCTTGGTTTCTGCTGCGCAAGGGAACGTTCGAGAAACTGCCGAGGTAAGCAGCCATGACTCAGACAGGCGAGGCATGTTTACCAGAGTCAGCAATCGATGTCAGCTATTTTTATACGCTGCTTCATTCAATCTCGTTATAAAAACATATTTCTCCCGCTATAGCGCGGATAGGCAATTCAACTATCTTTCAGTGTAAAGAGAATGAAAAATCCTTTAAACAGTGTTTGTAACCATATCTAACGAAAAATTACTTTCATGCTTCAAACGTTTGTGTGAAAAAACCCATACCTCTGTAGCAGTATTATTTACATCTCACTTCGTTCATCTGGCGAATACCAGGCAATAAACAGACGTTCCCAAGTTCATTTGTTTGACTGACTGTTAACACAAACCCTTCTAATGCCTCACGTCATCTTCTTGTCACATCACAATGAACTGTCAGGCGCAGACATGGCAGCGTTCCGTACACAAGTGAACATCTACTACTACGACTAATTCGACTACTACGACGACTACGGCTACAAATACGGAAACTTGTGAATATCGGAGTTAGTATAGGTCTTCAGCAACCCATGCTTGTCGTCAGAGACGACGTATGGGATCAGGGGATCAGACCAGCTGACCTGGTTGCTGCGTGTCAACGTATCCGAATTGATGTCAATCACTGGATTGTCTGGTCCAGATTTGATTACCTACAGACTGTCGTCATATAGCTGGAATATTGTTCAGTGCGTAGTTAAACACACCACGTGAATAGCATTTAAGGCATTGATCTTTTTACACGTGCCTTTGAAGCAGAAATATTCACTGTTAACATAATGTTGCATAATGTTTTCATGTGATTCTGAGTAAGAACTTATAAATATTGCATAATACATTATTATTGTTCCCCTAATGTCAACAGGGGGCACGGGTGGCCCAGTCGTCTAAGGCTCCGCGATTTGCTGTGCAGAGTTGCCTCCCTTGGGCACGCCAGAAACCTATGATTGTGGGTTCGAATCCCGGTTCGCCCCGATTATGTTTCTAGGTTTGCCAGCACCATACCCGTGCTCGTGGGTTTCACCAAAGTGGTAAACGTGTGAGACCTGCATCACTTCGGGATTTCCTCCCACATTAAGCTGACACGCTGCGATATAACTGGAATACAGTTAAAAGCGGCGTTAAACCCAACTCACTCACTCACTCGGAGTAAACATGACCTCTCTTCATTTTGATGTCTGTCATGTTAACGTTTCACGCCCGACAACATTTTCGGAAACGAACATAAAATATTCACCAAACATTGTTTTTAAAAACAACACTTGTTCCAGAAGGTAATTTGCCACAGGCCGTACATTTATCGAACAAGAAATGTTAGTGTTACATTCCTGAAAATAGTGTGCAAGTCTCTCTTACTGACTATAATGTACCACACAACTGTTAACAGGGATGCTACTATAGATTTACTATTTACAAGTCAATAAAGCGCAACGTGAAGTGAAGAAGTTAACTCTGTCAAACCATGTGGCGCCACAGCCGACCCAGGTCGATGCTTACACACACACACACACACAGACACGCACGCACGCAAGCACACACACGCACACACGCACGCACGCACAGACACACGCACACACACACACGCTTGCACGCACGCACGCAAGCAGGCAGGCACACAGCCAGGCCCGCACGCAGCCACGCACCCAAACGCACAACACATTTTGTCTGAGTCGGTAATGGCGCCACAATTGGCAACGTAGAGTTCGTACCTTCATCATGTCAAACACGTACACATGCGGGTTCGAATTCCTGATGTAAGTACTTGGGTTGACATCACCATACCGCAGAAAACAACGTGGTAAACGGCCTGGACCTGCAACACTTCGGGCTGCCCCTATAAGCTGACACGCTGTCTCATATTTGTCTCTGTGATTTAAGTGTAACTGGAACCCTTTGTGAAACCAACACTTTGTCTCTGTGATTTAAGTGTAACTGGAACCCTTTGTGAAACCAACACTTTGTCTCTGTGTTTTAAGTGTCATTGTTGCTGTTTGTGAAACCACACTTTGTCTCTGTGATTTAAGTATATTTGGCGCCCTCAGTGAAGCAACTCTTTGTCTCGTCTCTGTGATTTAAGTTTAATTGGCGCCAGCTTGGACCCTCGCAATTCACAACCCAACACAGGTATTCCAATATACTTGTAGCTTTACTTCTCAGTAATGGTCAAACAACATGTGAGGAGAAGACGACACAAGCCAAGGGAGGTAACTCTCCCACTACCTAGGCAGTCTGCCGCTAAACATAAACAACGGTCGCCAACCACACTGGCGCAACCTCCTTTTTTCTTTGTAACACATTACCTGATATGGGTTACTATTAAAGACTCATACTGTCATAAACAATACCCAAAATAACTGGTCACAATAAAACTTAAAACCTGATGTAGATATCCTTGACATCACGTGATATAAGCTGATACGACACCATAACTATAGTCTAAATGCGAAAAGGTATCCAGACACAGTTGATGGACATAGCAACATAAACATGTTAGAAATCGGTTACATAGTCATTGAGGTGTTGAGGTGGTCGCCGTGCACGGATTGACCTCCTTTGTGCACTGACTGGAGTTGAATACACGGTATCATCAGTGTCATCTGTATACACAATGTCATTGTCACTAACATTTTCACGCAAGGAGTCCTGATTATCAAGAGGAGGATGTTCTGGTGGGTTGACTAAAATGTCTTGGTCATGGTATGGTTCATTTAGCACTGGGGGAACGATGGGAAGGGTAGGTGGTTCAGTCCTTTGGGGAACAGTATCTATCTCACCATCAGAAGACTCATCGCACACATATTGCTGAGGAAGTCCACTTGACCGTTCATGTTGACATGGAACTCTGAAGCACTCTGATTTTTTTACTCTATATGATGTGCTTCGAAGTTGGGAACCCACAAACTTCTGAATGTTGCACCATTCACCATCGTTAACAACCACAAGGTATCGATCTCGTGACCGTGATTTATTACGATCTGCATGTAGATATACCAGGTCACCAATGCTGATGTTAGGGGTGGGCAGGCTTGGGATATGGGCTTTAGACATCTCACTGTGTAGGTGATTGGTAGTTCGCCGGTGATGTTGGTCAAGGATCAATTTTCTGTCTCCAACGGGTATTTGGTGGTTGTTAAATTGATCTCTTTGTGTCCACATTTCCCTGGCGGATAACCCTCTGGATCTGATGCGAGAATTTAGTTGAGCAGTGGCTATAGCTAGGGTTATAGGTGTGACCGACCCCCCCAAAGGATCAATTTTTAACAATTCCAGCTCCAGCTCTTGAATAGCTCGCTTGGCTACGGGATTCTTGTTCTTGTTCTTTATTCGACCAATTTCAATGCAAAGACGTTGACTTCGGAGAAGGTCATCTTGAACTAAGGCCTTAAACCCTGGAGCTGGGTCAGTTCTGATGACCGCCGGGGGTCCATCTAATGGTCTCATCTCAACACTTAGGCGAATCAAAGCCTCACGTAGGGTTCCCTTTTGTTCATTTTCAATGGCACATGTACAGGTGAAAGATGTGACACATTCTCTCAACACAAGTATGAGTTGTCGTTCTCTTTTTATTACATCTGCAGCAAACGCGGCTCCAATGATCTCTGGGGGATCAGTAGATGACTGAGCCACAACTGTGTGGGGAACCTGTTGAAGAGATGTACAGTGATAACATCCGCTTGAAACTTTAGTTATTGCTTGATCCATGTCCAAAGCATAGAAGTAGCGGTTCACAACGAGTTTCAACTGGTGGGCAGAAGGATGATTTAACTGGATGTGCATTGCAGTCAGTAATCCATCCAAGACTTGTCGTGGAATGACGATGCACTCTCTGATGGTAACAAGGGGCTCATTTCTTTGAATCACCAACACACCATCTTTGGCGATGGTCACAGACTGTAGATAACGTTTTACGTCTTTAACATCAGTTTGTTTCTTGGATGGGCGAGTGCCCTGTATGAGATGAGCATGTGTGCGTCTGAGATCAGAACACTCTGACTGGATGGCGAGCCATGCATTCCTGTTGGTGTATGGCAGTTTAGATTTCCCTGACATGATGTCCTGAACAGAAGTACCACGTACCGTACAGTCCTCAGTTTGACGAATGAATGAGCAAATCTGACACAGGGGCTCGTCACACTTGGATGCATTTCTACTGGCAAAATCAGATGGAATATTTGCAGAACCACTGAGATGGCGAACAGAGGCCTGGTATCTACTCACTGTCGACAAAAAGGTAGACACTCTGGGGCTTGCTGAAAACTCTCCACGACACAACTTTTCATATGCTTGAACACATGGTTTACTGTCAGTCAGGATACATGCTTGTAGGCTTGACTGTACAAGGTAAGGACTAAAGTGCTTGGTGGCAACAGCTATAGATAGTGCTTCTATTTCACACGGTAGCCATGTCATTTGACGCTGGCGCAGTTTGGCACTGAAGAAACCAGCGAGGAGAGTACTGTTGTTCCTTGTAATGTAGAGAGTAGCACCTATGCCATGGTTTTTCACTGCTCCATCTGTAACGATCCATAGTTGGTCATCCTTTCGAGGAAGAACAATGGTTTTATGTGAGGATAGTGCAGATTGAGCATTTCCAAAGGCACAGATAAGTACCTCTGACCAAACTATTCTCTCTGCTGAAGGACGTCCAGCTTGAAGAGTGTCCAATGGACCCAATAGTCCAGCACAACCTGGTATTACCCGGGCTAACACTTTGTAGGCTCCTATAAACGACCTCAAACCCTTGACCGTAGA